CCCCAAAACCCCAAAACCCCAAAACCCCAAAACCCCATATAAAAACCGTAATGTTGGTTACAAACAAATATGAAAATATTTATATTCATTTGAGCATTCGCACTCCTTGCGACTAGCCTTAAAATCGACCTTGAGAGAAGGCTAACCAAGGAGCCTATTCAGGACAGAATCGACCGTCAGATAAAAGAAGGACGCCTCAAGATGATGACAATTGACGAACTCAGAGCTGATGCTATGCTTAAAGAAAAGAATTTTGGAGATAATCCAGTCATCGAACTAAAAAACTACCAAGATTTACAGTATTACGGCCCTGCTTTTGTTGGATCAAAGAACCAAGAGTTTAGTATGGTTTATGACACTGGATCTGAGTGGTTCTGGATCCCTAATAAAGGCTGCAATGGATGTCCAAACAAAAATGCATTTGAAGCTGCATCTTCAGACACTTTTGTGGACACCGGTGTTAATCAAGAGCTGTTTTATGGACAAGGTCATGTAACTGGGAATATTGGAACAGATATGATCGGAATTGGAAAAGATGACGCTGCTCAGATGAGATTTGTTCTTGTAGATTTTGCTGAAGATATATCAGGTCAAAAGGCAGATGGTATTGCAGGACTAACACCAACAACAACTCTTGGTGGAGACTTAATGGTTGAAAAATTAGCTGGAGAAGGAATTATCAATGCTAATGAGTTCACTGTCTTCATTGGGAAAGCTGGGTTTGATAAATCATGGATAGAATTCGGAAAGAATATTGACGACCAGACTGATGTTAAATTCTTAAATCTCGAACCACTGACTCCACAAGACGATCTTACATATTGGAGCACACCATATACATCTCTCCAAGCAGGAGATGAGACATTGAACTTGGCAACAAAAATGACTATTTGGGATACAGGAACGTCTCTGATTGGGGCAAAGCCTGATGATGTTGTCACAATGGCTCAAGCTCTTGCAAAGGGAAAAGAGATTGGCCAAATCCCAGAGGGATTCCTCGCATCGCTTTGCGATAGAGTAGATGACACCCCACCTCTTATTTTTAATTTCAATGGGCACGAAGTCAAAATCGAACCAAAAGAATTTGTCCTGAGGAGCTCGGGATACTGAGTATACCTCATCATGCCCCTAGATTTGGATGGAATGCTCCTCGGTGATAGCTTCTTGAGAGGATCAAAGATCATTCATGATGTTGATGGGAAAAGATTGGGTATTTTCCCTCAAAAGTTCTACAAGTAAGAAATCCTATTCATATCTTATAGATCATCAAGTGGCCTTCTCTGGTTGTGGATACTACTTCCAGTTCTAGGAGTTATCCTGATCGGCATTGGAGGTTTTTGTCTTTACAAGAGAAGAGTGGAGAAGAAGTCCTACATTACCGCAGGAGGCAATATCCAGAACAAGGCAATGCACGGGAATTATCAAAGAGTTGGAGGAAATTAGCGTCACTAACTTGTCTCAATCTTTGGATCAACATTAGGGGTTTTGGGGTTTTGGGGTTTTGGGG